ATCTATCTATCTATCTATCTATCTATCTATCTATCTATCTATCTATCATATATATGAAGCTATACAGTTTGGGAAGAAAATATTTTCCTCATGAAACAAAGATCATCTAATAAAAACCCTAGTACCAGCCATGGGTCCAAGAGATTCCCAAACAATATAGACCATTGTAATCTCCTAGCTATTTCAAAATATGCAACACAATATAATCAACTCTAGTCACCCTTCTGTGTGATGACAAGCTAGCCTTTATTAATCCTATCTGGGAGTGATTATCAAATTCACCCTAATCTTTCCCTTTGACTTTTCTCATTCAATATCTCGTGACTATTCTTTGAATAATGCTTTATTTTAGTCTATGAAATGTTTTCTGTTCTTTGCTTAATTAATGAATATGGATTTTTGTTGATGTGTGAGCCATTGCACACATTCTTCGCATTTGGGTTAGTTCTTCTGAGAGAATAGAATCAAGAGTGAAATCCAGAGCTGGAGATGTAGCTCAGTCACAGAGAGCCTGCCAGACAGATCCACAGAGGGCCTGGGTTCAACCTGAAGCACCACAGAACACAGAATCAAACCAACAAATACCACAAGTGACTTTCTTTGGAGCTATGGAATAAAGATAATAAGAAATAATCATGTTTCCAATCAGACACAGCTTGGAGGAGGAAGGAATCATTATTATACAACCAAGAAGACATGATCTCCTTACAGGACATTGGGGTTTGTTACACATTATGAAATGTCTACCTGAGTTAAAGGACTGTTATTTACAATCCTATGTAGGTCGCCCTAATAGTAAAGAAATTATGTAGAACTTACCAAAAAATAGGTATGGTAGACACTCAAGTTTTTAACTTCTTTGAAATGTTAACAGAAAAACAAAGGAGGAAGAGGAGAAAACGAAGAAGGTGAAAGAAGCAGAGGAAGAGAAAGAGGAGGAGAAGGAGAAGGAAGAGGAAGAGGAGGTGGAAAGTCCATCCCTTTACAGTCATATGAGGCTTAGGGCTTAGCCACAGTACCTAAGGAATGCCAATTTTCTTCTCAGAAACCAAGTAAGCCTCTCAAATGTTCCAGTGTCCTTTGAAGACCAACTTATCTCCAAAGCCTTGGTCTTTAGAGCACAGGAGATATGTGGAGGCTTTCTGAGATGTTTAGCCTCTGACAGGAATTTGGCAATAGTAGTAGTTGTTTAGCTGCTCCACAGAGACTCATTTTGTAAATAGAATTTACAAAACTATTCAGGTTAAAAAAACAGCAAAATCTCTCTACAGGGGCAGTGAGTGTGGAAGTGACAGAGTAGAATTCGACTTAGAGTCAGTCACTGCTCTTAATAAGAAAGGAGAGGCTTCCTTGGAATTCTACCAGTGCTCCTTAATAAGTTCATTTACCTGGATTGCTACATGGAGTGACTGCGTAGACTTAGTATTCATAGTAACCAAAGTAGCATAGATTTTGTTTTTAGCAAATTATTATAATTTTCTTCTATAACAGGATAGGAGGCAGATACTTTTCCACTTTCTCTTATAGTAAAATGCTATTTCAATCTTAAAAATGCAAAATTGATATTATGATAAACTTTTACAAGTTCTAACATATACAATGATACTCAATCCAGAGATTGCAGCTGCTATGGTAGAATCTCAGATATATTTTGTATACTAAAATGAATGTTGTAAATGAACTCCAAACTGATAGATTTTCTATTCCAAATCCAATTGCATAATTCTGCAGTTAAACTATACATAACTATTTAATTAACTCTGAATTATGTTATTCCAACTAAGTATGAACAAACCTCCTTAGAACCACCAGATGGCACTCAGGCACTGTGATTTCGATGGGAGACAGTCTAAAGACTTCATCATTGTGTTCAGGTCAGGAGAAACAAATGCAATCTGTAATTGCATAGTGTTTTCCTATCACCTAACACAATGGAAAAGCTCAGTTTTATCTTTTTCTAACCTCTTCAAATCTAATCAACAGTTATTTATTGAAATCTTTATTCAAAAAGTCTCCCTTCTAAAGGAAAGTTGAAAAATCATCTTAATGGGTGATAGGTAGCATTTATTTAAAACATCTGGTAGAAACATAACACATCACAGGATGTTCTACTTATTCATCTATTTCATTGCTTTGCTAAATTTATGTTGATCATTTTCATGCAACTAATTCTTGAAGACATAAAGAGGCCCTTTCAATTTCTCTAATATTTTCATGGCAGTAATCTTCAAGATTCATATTAACAAAAGCTCAGAACTCCTGGTAACTAAGCAAATGCTCCTCTACTGTTTATATCTTTCCAGGATGGAAAAGCTATATTCCTGTCTTCAACTGCACCTAAGGACTAAATGATCTTTGACAGTAAAGAACTGTCATTTTTTTTTCCTGGAGATAAATCATGAAAAATTCCTAATTCTTATATCCTGAACTGGAAGACAATTTGGAGACAGATCTAGAATAGGTTAACATTTGTATCCAACACACACCTTAATAAGATAAAGCCCAGAACTTACTTGTTCTAAAATGTTTTGAAGCCTTTCTATCTCACAATCTATTACAAATTTCTTCTCTTGTCTTCTGTCAAGCTCTTCTAGCAGTTGCCTGTAGCTGACATCGTTAAAATTTTCCACACATATCGCACTGACATGCCATCCATTCTGTCCTGCTTTTTCCATTATAGCTTGAAGTATTGAATACCCTATTAGAGAGAAAAAAAGTTAATAAAATTATGCTTTTAATGTATGTAGAGACATTCCTTTAGACTTATGTAGAGACTGGATCCATCTCAATATTTCTTATATTTAAAGCACACACAGATCATATCAATCTTGAAAATGTGAGTCATTATTTATGAACCCTTTTCCCCTTATTTTCCTTACTCAGGCAACAGATTCTCTTAAGCTATTGATTGGATGAATTTGTCACAGTATAACTTCTGTAAAATCTCAAAAATCCCTCTACTGGAGAATATTCCTTTGCTCTAGATATATTTTTGATGAGATTAAACAAAGCTACATTGTATCACTACCTTTGGTCAATATCAATTTCATGAACTCTTTTGTTATTTTTGTCTATAAAAAGAATTTGTTTTGAAAAAAGGTTTTAATTTTTTGATTGAACAGGGCACAGACAATATTTTTAGTTTAACTATGGAAGAAAGATTCACAAACAAACAAACAAACAAACCTAACAAAACCAAACAAAGCAAAATAAAAAAAAAACCAAAACCAACCAAACAAACCAAAACAAAACACCCAGTACTATGGTATTAATTGAGGATGTATTATTGTCAGAGTTTTATTTTATGATTTGGGCAGATCTACACAGTGATAGCATTATTCATTATGTTTCACTTGTCCTGGTAGAAGTGTGTAGGCTTGGTATGAGGTGAATTATCAACTTAGATTAATAAGCTCTTACAGGAGATACACATTCAAATGACCAAACTTTTCAAATCACAATAGGGAATGCACGTGCCACATGTGTGTATTAGTACCAGCTGAGAAGCAGACATAGGAGCTCATGGTCAGCTGCAGCTGGTAAGGAAGGAGCTTATGGCCAATCTGGACTGCACAAGATCTTGTCACCAAAACTCCACTCAAACAAAATAAAACGATTTCTAGGCAGGCTGATGAAGTGACTCAACAAGTAAATGCAGTTGCCACCAAAGCTTGGTATCCTTAGTTCACTTCCCAGTTTACATGGTGGAAGAAGAGAATGGAGCACTCCGAATTGTCCTGTGACATTCACAGGCATGCTGGGACACACACACACACAGGAAACAAGTAAACAAGGAAATAGTTCAATATAAAGTCTAACTACGGTAGCCCTGAGGAATTACAAGATTTTATCAGATGGAATGCTGGTTATGTGAAGTGAGAACTTTTGCAGGAAAGGCTGTGACCTCTGCCTGTTCTTCACCAAATCTTCACACAAGTGGAAGGAGACTTCAGCTTCCACACTATTTTCATGCCTGCTTCCTGAGACCTCAGTTTTGAGTTATAGCTTGAGAGACAAAGAGGAAAAGATTCTCTGAATATATAAAACATCTCTTAGATAAAAATTGGTTAGGACCAGAGCCACCTATATATTTTTTAACCTTATAGCTTGACATAAACAAAATATTCTATCTAGTCTCCTGAAAAGTGTTTTAACAGCAGTGTGATCTCATCCTGTAGTTGCTGTCCCTGGTCTCTCCCTCTGTAGGCATTGCAGTTAGGTTAGCTGGCAGAATTCAAAAGGAAAATTTAAAGTGAACAAATCACGCTTATATGATAAGAGAGCACTTATTTGGAGTTTCAGATTTAGGGAGTTTCACTTTGAGTTTATGTTTTCTCTGTCTCAGATCTCTAAACATTGTGATGTGCAGACAATGTCAACAGATGGACCTGATGATGAGATCATATCTGAAATATAAATTGCCTGACTTCCTGCCAAATGAATACCATGGCAGTCAGACTTCATTTCTATTTAAATGAAATAAAATTCCCTAAAAAGAAAGAGGGCATGCTAATTACAATATGCTTATTCTGGATATGTATTGCTCCATACATATCCAGTCTTTTCTTTGTAGTTCATACCTGTAATTATCTTTTCATATTTTACCTGACATAGCCCTCCCATCGACCTGAAACCTAGGGCTCTCTTATTTCCTGTTCAATGAATGTGGAAGATTTTCCTTTCTTTCCTTTCTTTCTCTATTTCTGTGATTATGTGTCTGTTTGGGTGATGTATGTGAGTTTTCATATGGGAGGCTCCAAAGGCTAAAAGAAGGCATCAGATTTCTGCTTTATCATTTAATTCTTAGTAGCCAGAAGTGGGTGATGGTAATGAAACTCTCAAGAACACCAAGTGCTCCTAACCTCTCAGCCTTCTCCCTACCTTCCTGCTTCCTTGCTCTTCCTTCCTTCCTTCCCTCCCTCCCTCCCTCCCTCCCTCCCTCCCTCCCTCCCTCCCT